ATTTTCACTTCATTCTCACTTTACACTCACTTTACTTACACTTAACTTCTACTTCGATTTCACTTACACTTCACTTACACTTTACTTTCATTTTCACTTCATTCTCACTTTACATTCACTTCACTTCCACTTGATTTCCACTTCACTTCCACTTTACTTTCATTTTCACTTTATTCTCACTTTACATTCACTTTACATTCACTTCACTTTCATTTTCACTTCATTCTCACTTTACATTCACTTCACTTTCATTTTCACTTCATTCTCACTTTACATTCACTTCACTTACACTTTACTTCCACTTCAATTTCACTTCACCTACACTTTACTAACACTTTACTTACACTTTACTTTCACTTCACTTAGACTTTACCTTCACTTCAATTTCACTTTAATTTTACTTGGATTTCAATTCACTCCCACTTTACATTTAATTTTATTTCACTTTCACTTCAATTTCATTTACTCTCAATTCACTTTTACTTTATTTTCACTTTATTCTCACTTTATATTCACTTCACTATAATTTTACTTTGTAAGCTAGTAAGTTAGTTAGTAACTAAATTATTAAGTTAACTAACTAAAACATTTATTAACTTAGTTACTAACTTAACTTACTAACTTAGTTAGTAACTAACTAACTAACCTACTAAAATAGTTACAAAGTTAGTAAGTTAGTTACTAATTAAGTAACTTACTAACTTGGTTACTAATTAACTTGGTAACTTTCTTAAAAAGGTTAGTTAGTGACTTTGACAAGTTAGTTAATAATTAAGTTAGTTAATAACAAAGTTAGTTTGTTAATCACTTTCACTTCACTGTCACTTTACCTTTAATTCACTTCACTTTGCGTTCACTTTACTTTCACTTCACCTTCTCTTCACTTTCAATCTATTGTAAATTTTCAAGTTAAAATATAGTGAAGTGAGAATAAAATGAAAGCGAAGATAAAGTGAATTGAAAGTAAAGTGAACGCAAAGTGAAAGTAAAGTGAAAATAAAGTGAGACTGAATTGATATTGAAATGTAAGTGAAACAAAATTGAAGTGAGAATGAAGTGAAATCAAAATGAAAGTGAAGTGAAGGTGCATTGAAAGTGAAGTGAAAGTAAAATGAATCAAAATGAAAGTGAAATGAGAGTACATTGAAAGTGAAGTGAAAGTGAATTTTAATTTAAGTAGAATTGAAGTGAAAGTAAAGTAAAATCGAAGTGAAGATGAAGTGAGAGTAAAGTCAGAATAAAGTGAGAATAAAGTGTAAATGAAGTGAGAGTGTTAAGCAGAGTAAACTGAAAGTAAAGTATGATTGATGTGAAATCAAAGTAAGATTGGAATAATAATATAAAGTGAAAGTAAAGTGAAAGTGAAGTGATAGTAAATTGAGAGTAAAGTGAGAGTAAAGTAAGAATATAGTGAAAATAAAGTAAAGTCGAAGTAAAAGTGAATTGAAAATGAAGTGAGAGTGATGTGAAAGTGTAGTAAAAATGAAGTGATTGAGAAGTGAAAGTAAAGATAGAATAAAGTGAAATTGAAGTGAAGGTAAAGTCTAAGTGAAGTGAAATCAAAGTGAAAGTAAAGTGTAAGTGAAGTGAAATTGAAATGGAAGTAAAGTGTAAGTGAAGTGAATGTAAAGTGAGAATGAAGTGAAAATGAAAGTAAAGTGTAAGTGAAAGTAAAGATAGAATGAAGTGAAAGTGTAGTGAGAATGAAGTGTAAGTGAAGTGAATGTAAAGATAGAGTGAAGTGAAAATGAAGTGTAAGTGAAGTGAAAGTGTAGTGATAGTAAAGTGAAAGTGAAAAAATGAAGTGCAAATGAAGAAAGATTTGGAAGTGAAGTAAGAGTGAAGTGAAAGCAAAGTGAAGGCTCCCGGAAATATTTTATAAAAAAATCCCCCCTCCCAATAAATTGAAACCCATCTGGAGTAAACTTTGCCAAATCCGCACTCCGACTACTATAAATTCGTTAGAATAATCCCCTTTGGAAGTGAGTATAAAATTCCAAATAACCCTTAAAGCATTAGAAATAAAAGCTTTTAAAGAAAAAAAATCCCTTCAAAAGCAAAAAAAAAAGTTTCTACATTAAAAAGCCTTTCTCTGTAGGTCCGTCGTCGCGTCCCTCTCTCCACACTGGCAAAATCCGAGGCAATTTTTTAAAAAGCACTTTTTCAAACCTTCCTCCACTAGTAATCCCATAGTCGATTCGAAAATTTCATTTCTCTCTCTTGCTCTGAAATGAAGAATTTTTTTTTTTTTTTTTTGAGAATAGTAGCAAGGTCCGAAAGGGAGAGAGAGAGAGAGAGAGACAGAGATTTCCTCTCACGATACCCGGAAGTTAAAAGCTCGTAGTGTAGCGCTGGACTCTCTGGGGGATTTTCCGGTGTATTCGATTGGGATCGAACTCGGCGCTGGTAATCCTCGATGGTATACGATACGCCCGGTGGATAACTTTGTCCAAAGATGAAACTTTCGTCTCTTGACGTTGAGAGTGAGGGAGGAGAGGAGAGGAGAGGGAGGGTTTTCAACAAGACTCTCTCACTCCCCAATTTCCAGTTTCTTCGTTTTCGATGCACCAGACTGAAGTTAATCGCAGTGTCGTCCCTATAGCCCTCGCAGTATTGGACAACTCTCGATTATCTTCATCAGAAATGAATCAATCGTCTGCCAATTCGATTTGAATTAATTCGTTGCGCAAATTCTCCCTCAAATGGAAAATGATAAAATGATAAAATGAAAAATAGGGAAAATTATATTAAATCCTCGTCAATTGTTTTTGGGGTTTTGAAATTTTTCCTTTATTTCCTTTTTCTATTTCTATTTTCTATTATATTATTTCTTTCTTGTTATTAACTTTGTTTAGTTTTTTTATACTCAAGTTTTTTATACTTTTGTTTTTTAATTTTTTCTTCGTTTGTTTTTTTTCTTATTTTTATTTTGTTCCACGTTGTTGATTGTATTTTTTGTTTTATTTATTTATTTTTTTAATTTATGTTGGTTTTTTATTTTTCTATTATTTTTTATATTTTTCGTTTCAGTTGTTTTTTTTGTTTATTATTTTTTAGTTTTTTTTTTATTTATTTCTGTTTTTCTATTTTTTTTTTTGCTTTGCATTGTTTTATTTTTAGTTTTCTTTCGTTTCTTTTTTTCTACTTTTTCCTGATTTCTTTATTTTTTGCTTTTCCATTCTTCTATTGTTTGGTCTTTTTTATTTTTTGTCAGTTTTTCTTTTTTTTTCTATTTTTTAAATGTTTATTTATTGTTCTCTAGTTTGTTCCTATTTTCTATTTTTTTATTTGTCTTTTCCTATTTTTTTATAATTTTTATTTTCCTATTTTTAAATATATTATTATTATTATTATTATTATTATTATTATTATTATTATTATTATTAATTAATTAATTCGTTTATTTGTTTTTTCTTGATTTCGTTTAAATTTTTTTATTCTTTTTTCTTTTATTTTTTTATGTTTCGTGTTTTTTTTCGCTTTTGTTCAGATTTTTTTTTTGTGTTAGTTGGTTTTTTAATTTTTGTTTTGCTTGTTTTTTTGTATTTTTTTCTATTCTTCTTTGGTTTTCTTTTTTCTATTTTTTTTAGTTTTCTTTTTTTTGAATATTTTCTTTTATTTTTTTCATTGTTTTTAAATATTTTTTTATTTAATTTTTTTTGTTTTTGATTTTCTTTAATTCTTCTATTGTTTTTTTGTTCCATTTTTGTTTTATTTTGTTTTATCTATTTTTCTTTTTTTGTTTTGTTCTATTCTTCGATTTTTGTTTTGTTTTTTAGTTTGTTTATTGTTCTTTTGTTTTTTGTTCTACTATTTGTTTTAGTTTTTTTTTATTTTTTGTTTTTTTCCATTTTTCTTTTGGTTGTTTTGTTCTTTTTTGGCTTTTGTTTTTATTTGTTTTATTTATTTTTGTTCTTTCTTTTGTTTTTTACTTTTTATTTATTTTTTGTTTTTCTTTTGTATTTTATTTTTTATTTGTTTATTTCTTTTGTTTTTCTTTTAGTTTTTATTTGTTTATTTCTTTTGTTTTTCTTTTAGTTTTTATTTGTTTATTTCTTTTGTTTTTTTGTATTTTAGTTTTTATTTGTTTATTTCTTTTGTTTTTTTTTGTATTTTAGTTTTTATTTGTTTATTTATTTTTTTTGCTTTTATTTGTTTTTTCTTTTTATTTATCTTCCTCTTTTTCTTCTTTTTATTTGTTTTTTTTAATCCTTCCTTCTTTCTATTTCAATAAATGAAAAGTTAATTAATCGAATATTTTTTCTGTCTCCCTAAGGAGAGAAGTCATAAAACTGAAAGAAAAACGAAAAAAAGAGAAAGAGAAGAAGAGAATAATGTTAAAAATAAAGAAAAAAAAATGAAGTATGGAAAATGGAATATGTTAAAAAAGAGAGAGTGAATAGGAGTGGAGAGGGGGGGGGGGAAGGAAGGAATTTTCTCTCAGTGATGGATTTTATATATCACAAGGTGAAAAAAATTTCAATTCAAATTGTCCCCGAATCATTAGGTTTTCAAATCGAGATTCACTAGTCAGGGTAAATAGAATTTTTTTTTCAAGGATGAGTGAGCTTCTTTAAATTAAATCTCTCTCTCTCTCTCTCTTTATCCCTCCCTCTCTTTTTTATTTCTCTTTTACTTCCTTTAAAAAAAAGTTTGTCTCCTTAAAAAAAGGAGCTTTTGCCTCTTCAAAAAAAGCTTCTGACTCTTTAAAAAAAACTTCTGTATCTTTAAAAGAAAGCTTATCTCTTTAAAAAAAAGCTTCTGGACCCTTAATAAAAAGCTTCCATATCTCTTTTGCCAAAAAGTTCTTTTTTTTGTAGAAAATGATAAAAAATTAATAATTAAATGGAAAATGGAAAAATTGAAAATTTTTATTTAACATTAAAAGCAGAAGAGAATTTAATATAATTATTTTTTATGTATACGAATGAATGAAGTAAATAAATATGAAATTTTTAACTAATTCCCCCCCCCTCTTCTTTTATTCTGTTGCAGATCAAATGAACGACGTTTGCAAAAATCATTTTCTAAGGGATCTCTACAGGAAAATCGATGGCGCCGTACTCACATCGCAAAACGAGAGAAATCTCGATTGTGCAATTACATTTCAAACGCACAGTATTCTTCAAAGATTTATGCTCAGGTTCGATCGACTACAACTCGATTGCAACGATCATCTCTATATTTATGATGGAGCGCATGCCGTTGGAACTTTTAAGGTAATTTTTCCACAAAAATTTTATTACCCTACTTGCAAAATTAAAAAAAAAATGGAAAAGATCCCCCCTCCCCTTCCTCACTAAATGAATAAATTTTTCTTGAGGGTGGAGGGGAGGGGAAAAATTTAGTTGTACATTGAAAGTTTTCTTGAATATTATACTCGGGGGAGAGTGGAGTGGGGGAAAGGGGGTTTGAAGAAAAGTTTGCTCTCGCATGACATTAGAAAGTGTATATGCCCAAAACGGTGCTTTAATCCACCTTTTTCTTATCTCAAAAGAAATTCTCCTTTGAGCTTTTTGGATTCGAGAGAATGTTTGCTCTGGGCGAAGAGAATTGCTTCAAGCCCCTTATATATATACATATCGTAGCGATGATAATCTAGCCTCCGAGGCACAGTTTAATCTCTGCCTTTCCGGTTGTACAAAAAAAAAAATTACCTAGAAATAATATTTTTACTCTTAATTATTGACAATTTTTTTGGAAATTCCGAAAGGAAACGTTTAAGAACACTTTATAGGAAGCTTGCAGGGAAATCTCGGGAAAATATTCAATTTTTAATAACTTTAGGGAAGCTTGCAATGAAAATTCTCAAGAAAATTTCAGTGGAAGTTTTGATAGAAATTTCCAGGCTTTAGATTAACTCCTGTTAATAATAGTGATGCTCTTGATGATAATATTGCTGATAAAACTAGTGATGATGATAAAGATAATGATTTTGATGAAGCTAATGATGTTGATAAAGCTAACAATGCTGACAATGATAGTGATGCAGATAAAGTTAATGATGCTGATAATGATGATAGTCATGCTAATAATTATGAGGATGAAGATAATAAAGCTAATGATGCTAATAATATTAATCGTAATGCTGATAATGATGATGATAATGATGCTGATAAATCTAATGATGCTGATACTGATAGTGATGCTGATAGTAATGATGCTAATGATAATAGTGATGCTGATAATGATGCTGATGACTATAGTGATGCTAATGATGATAGTCATGCTAATAATCATGAAGATGAAGCTAATAATGTTAAAAAAGTTAATGATGTTGTCAATGATAGTGATGTTGATGAAGCTAATGATGCTGATAATGATATTGATGCTAATTATGCTAATGATGATAGTAATGCTGATAAAGCTAATGATGCTGATAATGATATTGATGCTAATGATTATAACGATGTTGATAAAGCTAATAATGCTAATAAAATTAATGATGCTGTTAATGATAGTGATGTTGATAAAGCTAATGATGCTGTTAATAATAATAATAATAGTAATGCTGATAATGATGATGATAGTGATGGTGATGCTGATACTGATAGTGATGCTGATAACGATAGTGATGCTAATAATGATAGTAATGCTGATGACAATAATGACGCTGATAGTGATGGTGATGCTAATGATGATATTGATGCTGTTAAATCTAATAATGCTAATAATGTTAATGATGCTGTTAATGACAGTGATGTTGATAAAGCTAATGTTGCTGTTAATAATAATAATAATAGTAATGCTGATAATGATGATGATAGTGATGGTGATGCTGATACTGATAGTGATGCTGATAACGATAGTGATGCTAATAATGATAGTAATGCTGATGACAATAATGACGCTGATAGTGATGGTGATGCTAATGATGATATTGATGCTGTTAAATCTAATAATGCTAATAATGTTAATGATGCTGTTAATGACAGTGATGTTGATAAAGCTAATGTTGCTGTTAATAATAATAATAATAGTAATGCTGATAATGATGATGATAGTGATGGTGATGCTGATACTGATAGTGATGCTGATAACGATAGTGATGCTAATAATGATAGTAATGCTGATGACAATAATGACGCTGATAGTGATGGTGATGCTAATGATGATATTGATGCTGTTAAATCTAATAATGCTAATAATGTTAATGATGCTGTTAATGACAGTGATGTTGATAAAGCTAATGTTGCTGTTAATGATAGTAATGCTGATGACAATAATGACGCTGATAGTGATGGTGATGCTAATGATGATATTGATGCTGTTAAATCTTATAATGCTAATAAAGTTAATGATGCTGTTAATGACAGTGATGTTGATAAAGCTAATGATGCTGATAATGATAATGATAGTTATGGTAATAATGATATTAATGCTGATAAAGCTAATGATGTTGACAATGCTAATGCTGCTGATAATTATAGTAAAACTTGTAATGATAGTGATAATAAATAATAATGTTCAATTTTTGATGAATTTAGAAAAGCTTTCAAAGAAATCTCTAAAGAATATTTCAGTGGAAGCTTTGATAGAAATTTCCAGGCTCTTGGTTAACGTTTATTGTTTTAAAAAAGATAATAATTTCTTTTACTCGGAACAGAAATAACTGTTCGAGAATAGAAAAAAAAATGAGAGGGTGTAAATTTTTAAAATTCTACTCACTGTGCTGTTGGCATTGATTGGAACTATATACATGAAAGACACCTAGGAGAAGCTGCGTGTTGAAAACTTGCTCCATTAATCAAGATTCGTTTCTTTTTTGAACTTCAATTCAACTTTTCTCTCTCGAATCTTTCTCTTCTTTTTTCTCCTCTTTCTCTCTCTCTTTCTCCTTTTTTTCCTTTTCCTCTAGATTTGCTACTAATTTCTGAAAAGCATCATAAGAATTTTGAAATATTATCGAGAATTCCTCAGGAGAAGAGAATGATTTTTTTTTCTAACTTTTATAAGACAGTGATGGAGAAAAAAAAGAGTGGAATGTTGAAGAAGTACGAAAATAGAGAGAGAGAAAGAGGAAGAAGTGCGGAAATAGAGACAGAAAGAGGAAGAAGGGAGGACAAGGAGAAATAGAGAGAATCAAAAACAGAAGCAAAACGATAAAGGACAGAAATAGATAGAAAATAAAAAACAGAAGAAAAAAGATAAAGGACAGAAATAGTGAGAGAGGGGAAGTGGAGGGTAAAAACTAGAAAGAGCCTGAGAGGTGCGATTTTGAGTGTGATGGTGCACAACGTGGATTATCAAGAAGACTCATACAGTTACGTTAACATATCCACTTTACAGACATAAAGCCAAGAGAGTAATGCAATTTTGCATAATGGCGCGGGGATAACTTTGCTCTTTTTTATGGAGCCGCTTAATGGCCCGCTAAGCACCGTTTTTATTACACTTTTCTCAAACTATGCGCCGAGAAGGGTGCACACCTCTTCCCCAAAAAAAGAAGAATGGAAATACCACCGAGAGGCTAAGAAACAAAATCCAATTCGCTTTTTTCTCCTTTTTGGTACGTGTATAACTCAAAACTGTTCACTGTGTCTACTGCCTCCAAACATCTTTTTTGTAGAATTAGTATTTAAATTACTATACCCAATTCAATCAGGATTCTTTGAACGAAAACCGTTGCCAAGTAATAACCATAGTTTACAATAGTAACTACTTAGCAATGATTTATATTGTGATGATGACGATGATGTTAATGATGATAGGAATACTGATAATTATAGTGATTATAATGATAAGGATGATTGCTGATAATGATAGTGATGCTAATGATGATAGTAACCCTAATGATGATAATGTTGCTGATAATGATAGTGATGCTGATGATAATAATAATACTGATGTTAATGATGCAGTTAATGTTAATGATTCTGACAATGATACTGATAAAGTTAATAATGCTAATGAAGCTAATGATGCTGATAATGATAATGATGCTAATAAAGTCATTAATGCTGATAAAGCTGATGATGCTGATAATGATAGTGATGCTAATAATGATAATGTTGTTGATAAAGCTATTGATGCTGATAATGATAGTGAAGCTGATGGTAATAATGATACTGATGCTAATGCTAATGAAGCTGTTAAAATTAATGATGTTGACAATGATAGTAATGCTGATGATAATAATACTACTGATGCTAATGATGCTGACAATGATAGTACTGCTAATAATACTGATAAAGTAATTAATACTAATGAAGGTAATGATGCTGATAATGCTAATGATGCTAATAAAGCTAATGATGCTAATGAAGCTAATGATGCTGATAATGATAGTGATTCTAATGATGATAATGTTGTTAATAAAACTAATCATGCTGATAATGATAGTGAAGCTGATGGTAATAATGATACTGATGCTAATGATGCTGTTAAAGTTAATGATGCTGACAATGATAGTAATTCTAATGATACTGATATAGTTAATAATGCTGATGAAGCTAATGATACTGATAATGATAGTGATGCTAATGATGATAGTAATGCTAATGATGATAATGTTGCTGATAATGATAGTGATGCTAATGATGATAGTAATGCTAGTGACAATGATGCTGACAATGATAGTGAAGCTGATGGTAATAATGATACTGATGCTAATGATGCTGTTAAAGTTAATGATTCTGACAATGATAGTAATGCTAATGATACTGATAAAGTTAATAATGCTGATAAAGCTAATGATACTGATAATGATAGTGATGCTAATGATGATAGTAATGCTAATGATGATAATGTTGCTGATAATGATAGTGATGCTAATGATAATAATAATACTGATGTTAATGATGCTGTTAAAGTTAATGATGCTGGCAATGATAGTAATGCTGCTAATGATAGTGATAATAAACAAAAAGATGCTAATAATGATGAGGATGTTAATAATAGTGATACTAATAATGATGAAAATGGTTTTGACAATGATGCTAATAATAAAGAACATGGTACTGACAGTGCTGCTAATAATGACGATGATAAAGATACTGATAATGATGATAATGAAGATAATAATAACGATGATGATAATGACGATAATGATGCTGTTAATGATAGTGTTGCGAATAATGATGGTGATAATGATCAGCATAATAATGAAGAGAAAGATTATGATAATGATAATAATGAAGATGATAATAATGATAGTGGAAAGTTGCCTGCAGATTGTATCTGCACACAGCACACTCGGTAATTACAAAGGTTGTATTTCAAATGAAAGGTTCCCGATGATAGAATACACTAAATGGTTGTTAGCAGTTTCTAGTTTACAGCTACTAAATCAATGGTTGTTCACAACTTGAAACATGCGGATTAAACTTTTACCTTGTATCTTTTAGATGATAGATACGTTGAGCGTATAGTTTAAAATTTACCAACACATAGTACACTTTATTTATAGTTCATAATTACGGTTCTTTAAATTAATTTTTGATCTAAAATTTTCTATTGTCAAGAGACAAAAACAACGTTTGCAAAACAGATAGAAAAAGAGCATTAGAAAACAAGAGTGAGAAGAGAATAGCTAAACTAAAATTGATTTTCATGTTTAGTGACATTAGAAACATGCTTGAGGGAATAGGATAGTAGATGAGGGATAGTAGAAAAGATTAAAGATAGTAGGAGAGAAATTGCAGTTAATATTGAGGAGGAAATAACGTTAATTCTAAGAAGCAAGTGAAGCATAATTTTCAAGATAATTAAGTCATTTGTAAGAAACATTTTCATCTAAAATGATGATGGTGGGATATTAATCATAGATATCAGTTTCACGAGTGGGAGGTAAGAAAATAACTTGGGGGAATATGTACAGTAACGATAACGGGCAAGAGCCGTGGTGTCCCATAAATTCGCTGAACTTAACAAAGTAACACTTACGATAATTACCAAGGTACTCTGTAATACGAGAGCACTATACTATATGCTTGTTGCAAACTAAGGAAATTTTACTTCGACCCAAAAGTAACTTTCCTCCAATAGCATCTCCTTCTCTCTCTCTATGTCTCTCTTTCTCACCCTCTCTCCTCTCTTTTTTTCCCTTTCCTTACTCTCTTTTTTTCTTGGTTGTTTAATTTTTTCTTCTTCTCTTTTTAGTTCTGCAGAAACTATAGCAGAGAAAAAGTTTTTCTGTTCTGCTAATTCTAGAAACTCGTTATTATCATCAGCAATATAATTCCCAACTTCAACATCATCATCATCATGATTGTTAGCATCATCCTAATCATTATCATCAATGGCATTAACATTTCTAGCATCATCTTTATCATAATCACTATCATTAGTAGCATCATCTTCATCATGATCACTATCATTAGTAGCAACATTATCATCATTAGCATTACTATCATCATTAGCATCATTATTAACTTTATCAGCACCATTAGCATTACTATCATTGTCAGCATCATTAACTTTAATAGCATCATTAGCTTTATCAACATCATTAGCTTTATTAGTATCATTATCAGCATTATTACCATTGTCAGCATCACTATTATCATCATCATCATCATCATCATCATCATCATCAGATTTATCAGCATCATTATCATCATCAGAATCATTAGCTTTATCAGCATCATTAGCTTTATCAGCTTCATCATCATAATTATTGGCATGACTATTATCATTAGCATTACTATAATTATCGGCATCATTAGTTTTATCAGCTTCAGTATCACTATCAGAATTATTATCGTCGTCAGCATCACTATTATTATCATTATCATTAGCTTTATCAGCGTCATTATCATCATCAGAATCACTATCATTATCAGAATCATTAGCTTTAACAACATTATTATCATCATCAGTATCACCATCATGAACAGAATCATTAGCTTTATCAGCATCATCTTCATAATTATTAGCATCACTATCAGCATCATCCGCATTACTATCATTATCAGCATAATTATCATCATCAACGGTACCATTACTAGCATCAACCTTATCATTATCAGCATTAATTTATTCACTATCATTATCATCATTAGCATCACTATCATTAACAATATCATTAGTTTTATTAGCATCATTATCATCATCAGCATCATTATCATTATCGGTATCATTATCACTGTCATTAATAGCATCATCCTCATCATTATCAACATCATTAGCTTTATCAGCATCATTATCATTGTTTTGGTACCAACTGGAACCATTTTGGTACCAACTGGTACCATTTTTGTGTCAACTTGAACCAATTTGGTATCAGTTTTAATACCAATTACGGTTTAAAGAATAAACTGATAATTCAATTTGAACCAAGAGAATTGCAAGCAGATAATCTGAATTAGCAGGAGACGTGGGACAATTCAGTCGCATTCAGCATACAATATCGGGGGCAAAATTGTACACAAGCATGTATGTAGAACACAAACACAAAATCCGTGTGAGTAAATGGAGAATATTAATTCTGCCTTTTCCATAGTGCGACATCGCTTTTCAGAGACGTGTATCTAATCAGCTCGTGCTATCTCCTGGCTTCGTCGTCGTTGCGTCGTCCGCGTTCACGTTTTCCTTCCGCCGTGCACCGCCGTCGTCGTCGAGTTGCTTTTCGTATTTGCAAGCACAAAAGGCCTCGTTTGCATCAGCCGGGGCAAATAAGTGTATATACATAACGGAAAATTCTCTCTCTCTCTCTCTTTCTCCCTCACTGCGTGTACAACACAACGAAGGGAATTTTCTCCTAGTAGACGAATTCAATTCAATTATTATCGATTTTAATCTCGTTTTACAAATCGCACATTTCAGAAAAGGAGAATTGAAAAGCGTACGGTAGATTAAGAAATTTTCGATTTGAATTCGTTTATTCCATTTTTATTAACTGAAAACTAATTTTTTCACTAGTTTTGTAATTTTTATCACTTCTACTAAAACTAGCGACTTCCGTAAAGTCTCGAAATGGATTCTAAAGCGTACATTACAAGACCATCTACGCGTAACAGTAAAAAAATACACAATTCTGAGAAAAGTGGGGAAAGAAGTTATGAAAATACATTTTATTTATGTTTATCCCGACTTTTCACAAAATCCTTACGTGATAGATAATTTTACGATACGGGATCGTGTTCAACGACCAAAAATACATAGAAAACGACTCCCATGTCAAAATAACGAAAAAAAAATTTTTTTTTGAGTTTATACCCCCACTTTTTTCAAAAATCCTTTTTTTATCTTGTACAGACAAAAAAAATTTTCTTTTTTTTCTTATTTTTGATATTGGAGTGGTTTTCAATGTATTTTTGCCTTCTGAACACGATGCCAAGTTCCAAAATTGTTTATCACGTGAGGATTTTGAGAAAAGTGAGGGGGAAAAATAAAAATATATTTTTCTTTTGACATGGGAGTCGTCTTCAATGTATTTTTGTCCACTAAACACGATCCAGGGTTTAAAAATTGCCTAGCACGTCAAAATTAAAAAAAAATGGGAATAAGGACAAAAAAACAGTTTAATTGGGTCTTTAACCCCACTTTTCTCAAAAAACTTTAGTTTTTTTGGTCTTGCGCAAATTGTTCTTAAATTCTACGTTACAAATTTTAATTTAAGATCATTTTGAAGTAATTTCCTATGTATGTTCGTCCGCTGTAAACGATACCGAATGTTAAAATTTTTTAGTTTTTCAAAATTTTGGGAAAAGTGGGGGTAAAGAAATCAAAAAACTTTTTTTTTTGTTATTTTGATATGGGAGTCGTTTTCAATGTACTTTTATCTTCTGAATACGATCCCAGCTTCGAAAATTGTCTATCACTTCAACATTTTGAGAAAAGTGGGGGTAAAAATGAAAAAAAAACTTTTTTTTGATTATTTTTGTCATGGGAGTCGTTTTCAATGTAATTTTGTCTTTTGAAAACGATGCCGGATCTAAAAATTGTCTAGTATGTCAGGATTTTGAGAAAAGTTGGGGGGACATACCGAAAAAACATGATTTTTAGGGTATTTTTAAGATATTCTTTCTATTTAACTGCTTACTTTGCTAGAAACTTCAAGGTGGTCTTAAATTAACTTGATATGTATACTTTGCGACCCATATGATCCAGGCCAAAAAAAATATTAAAGTTTTTTGAAAAAAGAGGGGGTAAAAGTCAAAATAAATTTTTTTTTTTTTATTTTTGATATTGGAGTAGTTTTTAATGTATTCTTGCCTTCTGAACACGATGACAGGTTCAAAAATTGTACATCACATCAAAATTTTGTAAAAAGTGGGGGTAAAAGTCAAAATAAATTTTTTTTTGCCTTTTTTTGTCATGGTAGTCGTTTTCAATGTATTTTTGCCCTCTGAACACGATACAAACTTTTAAAATTGCCTAGAACGTCAGGACTTAAAGAAAAGTGGAAGTATCTGGAATATTATCGTAAACAATTATAATATTATAAAATTTTGAAGTCATAAATATTATACATTGGCTATAAAGAAAATTTTACTGAGAAAGATAGTAATTTCTTTCTTTTATTTTTGCATGGTAGAAAAAATATCCAAATTGATGATGAGTTACTGGCTGACATTCGCAGAACTGAATATCATATTGAAATGTCGATTGTAATAATGGGGGATATTGGAAAACAATAATTCTCATATCTGAAAGGTATAGGAGGTTGGACAATGCGAACATTATGGAATTCATACGATTCTACAACACAGCTACGTTTAAAGTTATCGAATTGGATATTTGTCAATGAGAAATGTTTCTTATTTTAAAAGCAAAGAGGATTTTTTTTTCGCTGGAAAAAATGAAAAAAAAAATTAATAGCAAAAAAATTAGTAAACGTTTCAAAAATGGTAGAAGTAGTAAAAAAAATGAGAAAAAATATACAAATTAGTAAAATTAGTAAGAAAATTAGTAAATGTATCAAATTAGCAAAATTTAGTAAAAATATTAGTAAAAGCAACAAGAAATTAGTTAAAGAGTCAAAAATTAGTAAAATTAGCAAAAGTAGCATGAAAAGACTGTAAATTTTCATAATTAGCCAATTTCTATCTATTTAAATAAATTTTTTCTAGAATTTGTTATTATAAATTATGCAAAAATAATTGTGACAGCCGGGATTGTCAATTAATATTCTGTTTGGTGTGTATTCCCTCTGGAAATATAGGAAACGAAGTGAGTTTCTTTCTAATCTTAGTTGAGAGAGAAATGAAAGACCGGAAGAAGCGACAGACTGTTTAGAATGGAAAATAAGAAAGTGCAAGTATATAGTGCACACACATCCTTTGCCCGGATGGAAAATGCACGTTGGCTTTTGTTCAACTCACACGCGTCGGTTTTTGAAAGCACCTTCCGGAAGAAGCTCTTACGTTTATCATAATTGCATCTCGTGGTTTATCCCCCTCTCTCTAACCACCAGCTCCTCACTTTTGCGAAACCAAACTCTTTGCTTTTGACAAGAGTTTCTATACACGAAAATTAGTGAACAATATTTTCGAAAACAGTTAAATATCGAAATTAATACAAAGAAAAACCGTTTTTTGGGCCTTTTTTCTCATTTTTCTCACAATATTGACGTGATAGATAATTTCGCAACTTGGCATCGTGTTCGGAAGGCAAAATTACATTGAAAACGACTCCCATGACAAAAATAATCAAAAAAAAGTTTTTTTTTCATTTTTACCCCCACTTTTCTCAAAATGTTGAAGTGATAGACAATTTTCGAAGCTGGGATCGTATTCAGAAGGCAAAAGTACATTGAAAACGACTCCAATATCAAAAATAACAAAAAAAAGAAAAATTTTTTTTTGCCTGTACAAGATAAATAAAGGATTTTTGAAAAAAGTGGGGGTAAAAACTAAGAAAAAAATTTTTTTTTTGATATTTTGACATGGGAGTCGTTTTCAATGTATTTTTGGTCACTGAATACGATTCTGTATCCTAAAATTGTCTATCACGTCAGGATTTTGAGAAAAGTGGGGGTAAAGACACAAATAACGTGTTTTTTTGTCTTTAATTACAATTTTTTTTAAATTCTTACGTTTTAGACCACTTTTGAACCCAGGATCGTGTTTAGTGGACAAAAATACATTGAAAACAGCTCCAACATAAAAAATAACAAAAGTCGAAAATTTCAGAACTGTGTAAAATGAAGTCTTCCTTTTTTTTGTAAAAAGAGGAAATTTTTGAACAAAGAGGAGATTTTTTTTTGTAAATAAGGGAAATAACTCTTTTGTTCTCCTGTTTCAGGTGGATTTGTCCTGCAAGAGTACAGAATTATCTGTAAATGCACTATATACAAGGACGAACTTTGTGACGTTAAAATATGTGACAGACGCCTGGGGAACGGACACGAATGGCTTTAGACTAGTCATCAGTGCCATCAAGGATCCCAGTGAGTATACACCACCTCTCCTCTACTTTCATCTACCGGAGTTAATTAATCACATTTCTATTAATTAACGTCGGGACGATTTTGTGGCCATCCTCTCTCACTCTCTCTCTCTTTCTATATACATATATAGAGAGAGAGGGCAATTTTGGTCTTGCCCGTCGTCTTTGATCCAGTCTCACATTACCTAAAATCCGATCCACCTAGTGATTAAATTTACCCAGCATCTGGGATTCAAGATTTTCCTCTGCTTCCTTGGGTGAAATGGGTTTATGTCCAAGTAAATAAAAATAAAGGGGGTAATTTGTGTACAGTATCTTTATCTAAATTAAGAAATGTTCTTTTTTGGGAATTTTACCCCTTTCTTCCCCTTCTACGTTATTTATAGACTCTTTGCTCTTTTTTTACATAACAGGCTTCGCACTCTTCTACTAAAACCTACTATTTAATACTTTTTTTACGTTATGCTACTATTTGGCTACTATTTTGGATTTGAGCCACAAAAAGCTACTATTTCTGTTTTTTTTTTTTTGAGAATTTACACTAATTTAAATTCGCTAACACTAGAAATTAAAAAACTTCTCAAAAATTATAGTCTCAAATTCTTTAAAACGATTCAATTAGTTTCCAAAAATATTAAAAATTCATCAATATCTAGTATTTTCATAAAATTTCACCAAAAAATTTAAATTATTTAAAATAAAATTTTCCTAATATTTATTATATTTCGAAAAAATAAATTATTTAAAACAATTATTTTTTATATAATTTTACAGGAATTTCTCTAAAAATTTAATTTCAATTCATCAAAAAATCAATTATTTAAAAAAATCGTTTTTTTAAAATTCTTTGAA